GTGAGACCCTGTAGACCCTGTACTAAATACATTAAAAAAAATTAAATGTATTTGAAACACATAGGAACATGGGAACAAAAATAAGTTCTATTTTGGAGAAAAAAAAATACATATAATTTTTCATGGGGAAAACGATTCTTTTGTTTTCTTTTTATAAATCATGTTTCTTTGTTTTTAATTTACATTATCATTGTGCTGATTTTCAAAAAGGAGGATTTTTCACATTTTGATATTAATGAGGTATCTGTGTTAGAACTTTAATAATCTTTTGAAAGGAGAAATATATAAAAAGCAGCTCCTTTTGCATTGCTACACAGTTCTATAAGTATTATAGTTTGAACAAAGAAAAGCTCATATAAAGATGGAACAATTTTTTATTAAACCATGACAATGCTTTGTGTGTAAGTATGTAGAATTCCATTATTACATTTCTCCTCAGAGCTAATTGATTTGATTGCAAATGTGAAAAATAAACTTTAAGAATACATTATTTTAAAAAACCTTCTCCAAAAACGGATACATATAGAAGAGATATTATTTTCTGCTGCAAAATTTTCCACAGCTATTTTTATTCCACAACTGTTGCATAAAGTATTTTTTCCATAAAAGGCTCTCACACTTACAAATATAACTTCAAGAAGATCAGCTGGCCAAAAAATGACAGTTTTAGAGTGACACAGAAAAGGAGAAAGAAACCTAAGAGGTATGTTTTCAAGCATCTACTTCAGAGCTCTAGTGGGAAAGAACACACCGCCCTAAGATCTCACATCTGTTGGAGGACTTTTAATAATGGTGCTAGGTGTACAGAGGCAGGCACAGGGCTTTGTACCTCAGGTTTGAGATCTCTGTGCACGACTCCGACATCATGCATGTGGCTCACGGCTGAAACAAGCTTCCGCATGATGTAGCTGGCTTCAGTCTCACTGAAGTGTTTCTTTTTCTTGATGCGTTCAAACAGCTCTCCCCCATTCAGAAGTTCCATCACCAGAAATGTATGAAGCTAGAAAAGAAAAAAAGTAATAATTTGAGAGTCTTAATGAAAAGAAGTAGAAGTTTATTAACATAAAATACTATGGACTACATCATCGATAAATTTAAATAATCTTTGATTAAAATAACCAACAGCAATCCTTGAATTTTAGAGGAAAGAGCTGAAAGATAAAGAGGCATTACCAAAATAGAATTCTATTTTGGAAATGGAAAATTTCAACTACAGTAATGAAATCTTCATATACCCTTTTCCGGACTAATTTTTGCATTTGAATTCCATTCCAACTTTCCCTCTTGAGTTTACACATTTTCTTTCTAAAGTGTGACCCAGTGAATAATGAGTTGTCTGTTGTAAATAATGTAGAGATTACCAATTAGGTGTGGGCTTGGCACACCCACTTAATAGCAAATTTACCTTTTAAAAAATTTTCTTTGATAATTTTAGAGGGTCAGCAGATTAGCTTCTGGGTTCCTGTTAACACTCTCCACAAATGCCCCATAGCTCACAGGGTGTGGGGTTTTTAAAGATGTTTTTTGTTATTTGCTTTTGTCTGGTGCTTGGGAGCAAATCCAGGCCATGATGCATATTAAGCAAATGCTCTATCACTGAACTACATCCTCAATCCCTGCTTGTTTTTCTTAAAACTTGCTTTTGATCCCAGTAGAATTATAAAGTTCATTATGCTATATATAAATTTCACATATATTTCCATAAAGAAAATAACATAGGAGCTACTGAAAGGCAAAGGACTTTTATCAGCTCTTAAGCAAACACAACTAGTTCAGAATAAATTATGTCAATACTTGGGTTCAGGTACTACACACTGCAGCACCAACAGCACTCAACAAACGTTTCCAGAATTAAGCTCAAGGGCCTGAGTTCAATCCCTGGTTCCACCAAAAAAAAAAGAAAACTTCAAAAAAATTGCTTCATAAAAAAACTGTAACTACATTATTCTGAAAATACTAGACAAACTGTAAAGAGTGAACATCATTTTTAATAAGAAAATTACTTCTGCAGTGTTACAGATCAAATTAATTGTTTTCACATCAGATGAATAAAGTACAGGCTAAATGTTCACTGCAAGTATAGACCAGTGAGCTTCAAAACAAAGATAAGCTGAGGCCTGAAAGCCACTTCTGTTCCTTATGATTCTGGGGATGCTGTTTTACCTCTATGAACTTGAGAACCCTTATCAATAAACTGTACATAAAATGAGCAAATGTAGGTATGCCATCTAGAATAATGACCCTCCAAAGGTACCTAGCTCCTCAGAACCTGTGGCTGTTAACTTATATCCTGAAAGGGACTGCAGATATGGTTAGTGAAGGATCCTGGGAGGGGAAGACCATCCTGAACTATTCATCAGGGTCTGTTTTGACATGGGACAAAATAAACAAGAGATTCAAGTATGGCACAAAACGTAGGTGTCTTCTATAAGTTAAAAATGGCAAGAAAACAAACAGTGCCTGAGTCTCCAGAAGGAACCAGCTATGCCAACGTTTAGACTCTAAACCAGTCAGACTGATTTTGGACTTCACATCTGCAGACTGTGGATAACTTTGTATGCTTTAAGTTCATCGTGATTTCTTACAACAGCAACAGAAAACTCTTGGCCTGTATAAAGCACAGATCATGGCACGTAGATGACCTGTTCTGCTGGAAAAGACTGGCTATGGGCATGATCTAAACAATTCTGTCTTCATCCTGGAAAACCCAAAATACAAATTTCAACAACTGCACATTAGAATGTATTTATACTAATGTGTATAAGATTATGCCATGAGATAGTTTACATTCTAGTAAATTCTGAATATAGAAATAGCAAGTAATCAACTTGTGACATAAGTAAAACACTAGGGCTGTAGTTCCTGAGATCTAACATCAGTCTGAAGGTCAAATATTAAATGTGTTGGTTGGGATACAGCTAGTGGCACCGATACAAGACTCCAGAGTGGGGTGTCTAAGGACATCCACTGCTACCTAGATTGATAATGTGAGTTTCTCCTTTATCTGCACAACAGCTATTATCCAGTCTCTTCCTGAGCAACTCTAGTGGACAGGGCATGCACTACCTCCACTACAGCTGAGTAGCTCTACGAGGTGGGAGTCCATGGAGGAGCAAGAGGGGTGGTTCCTCCTGAGTCCTTGTTTTAGAGGTGACCCTTTATGGACTGTGAGAACCAATGAGCAAGGAGGAGGAGGCAATGCCAACTTGTGTACTGATTGTATAATATGAAAACCAGGCTATGTTCCTGCCTCCCTAAAAGTGCGAAAGCAAAGTAATTACTAGTTGGACTACGTGAGCTCAAGCCCCAGCCTTAATCACCTAGACTGAGTTTCCGTTTTCTCATTGGCAGAGTTAAGGTAAGGACTCTGGTAACATGGGAAGATATCTGGAGCAGCAGTTATTATAGACACCAGTCACTGAAGAAGCTACTTGTGCTGTTGCCTGACCTTGCCATAACATGTCATTCTTGGTCACAGTGCACTGAGAGGGCAAAAGCTGTGGTGGAGAACTGAGGCCCAGTTCTCCTGGTCAAGGATGTCGCAAGCTTGCGGCGAGGACAGCCCAGAATTGCACATCAGACTTTCTCTGCTAGACTTTTGCTCACTATCACATGATCATGGTACAAGTCTCCTAACCTTCTGGAATCTCAGCTTGTTCAAGGATTAAAAAAAGGGCAAAGCACATTCAGGACTGCTTTTAGGTCCTGTGTCTCCATGTAGTCTTGAAAAGGATTAGGACTAGGACATGTCTCCTAGTCTTAGGAGGAAAAGAATACTGTCATTGAGTAATTTGTGACTTGAGAGATGGCAGTGGGAGGGGCTGACAAATGACAGGGACCTGACAGAATGACACTCCTTCAATAACCCAAGTGGCAGGGCTGGGGATACAGCTCAGCGGCATGAGCACCTGCCTGGCAAGTGCAAGGTCCTGAGTTTGATCCCCAGTACCACACACACACACACACACACACACACACAAAAAAAAAGCCCAACAAAGCCAAGTGCCATGCTTCTCTATTAGTTTCCTGTTAGAAAGCAAGTGGAAGACGGGGTAGCCAGAGCTGGCTGGCAGTTCAGCAGAATTTGCCACCTGGAGCAGGAAGATGAAAGGGAGTATCTTCGGCCCTTTTCCTGTTTGCCTTTAGCTTGTGGTAATTTGGATTAAGACTACAATCTACTTTAGAAGTGAAAAGCAAACTGAAGGCTCAAAATTACTAAATACTGAGAGGCGTGCCAACATGTGACCACTGAACTATGGTGAGCAACAGCTGCACTGGCAAAAAGCACACCAGTGACAGTGACAGTGTCACTGAGCTCCTGCCCCTGGCTTCCGTCCATGGCATATGTAGGGATGAGTGAGGGAAGCGGGAGAGGTGAAAGGATGAGTTGATCTGGGGTGGGTGAGAACGTGTGTGGTGGTCGTTCTGCTTTTCCTAGTGGTTGGTGGTGTTCTGTGTTCCTGATGACACAGCAGACCCCAAACTGGTGGAAACAGAACCTTGTACGCAATTTAGCTAGCACACACAGAAAAGAGCACGGGGAGTACCTGATCATGAAAAATTTCATGCAACTTCACAATATTGGGGTGTCCTTCACAGAGCTTCAGTGCTGTTATTTCTTTCTGAGTATTGGCTTCCATCCTATAAGATGAAGTAGTTAGCATCTACATGTCTCTTCAAACAAGTTTGGAATGATAGTATTGGCCCAGCCCTAATTCTGTTTTTACTTTCAGTGCATTCAGAATACAGTATCAAAGTAGCAGAACAAGTTTACATAAAGGTAACAAACCAAATCACCCACCAGAACAGTTAAGACTTTTTTGGGAGAAAATTATTTGGAGCTAGAAAAGAGCCAGTCATGAAAAAAAGATGCTCTATTTGCCTTGCAGCTCGGTAGTAAGACTACACAGTCATGGGCTGGAGACATGCCTCAGTGACTGAACACTCACCTGGTGTGTGTGAGGCCTGGGACTGAAGCCTCAGGACAGGAGAAAAGGCTACACGACACCACACAACCATGAAGGTGAGAATCAGTACCAACACCAAGATGATTATCAAAACTATCAGGAGCTTGCTAAATAACTTCAGAGAGAAGTACATCACAGACTTAACTAATAGAGATGCAAAAGCTATTTCTATTGGTTAAAATAATGAAATCATATACCAGGAAGTTTTCCCATAAAAACCTTGAACATATAACAGATTATATTAAATATAAAAAAAATGGATTAGTTTCCAGAAAATATTTATTAGGTCTAAAAGAAGAATGAATCAACCAATGAGCCCAGGGGTTAAGCTCATAGGCAAAAAGGCTTACAATATATTGTTGGTTTCTTTTTCAATGTACACCTCTTCATTTATGAATTCATCAACTACGACAAGTTTAAGAACAAGACTTTAAGAAATGGGCACACCTTTTGCTGATTATTTTCACTGCAAATGCTTGGTTACTTTTTTTGTGTACACACTTTCGACAGATTGAAAAGCTTCCTTCTCCTAATGGCTTGTCCTTTAAATCCAGGTCATAGTATTGATAGAATGGAGAGTCCTGGCAAGAAACCGATGTCATGTAAGCTAAGAAAGTATAATACAGAAGGGAGACGCAGAACTATAAAGTAATATAACATTATTAATAAATATGAATGAAATATATTTATCATCTGAAATTCATCTATTTTCACCTGTATCATTAATTTAAGATCCATACTTCTGTATCACATAAAGGAGCTTATTCAAATTGATGTTAATAATTCTTTAGGGTAAATACTATTTTCACTTACTAATTTTCTAAAATTGTACAGCAGTTGAATGGTTAATCTATTAAATTTATGGAACTTGAGAACATTGTTGTAATACTTAAATATGCAGATCACAAAGTGGCCACGTGTCTGTACCTTCATCATGGCACTCCGGGCAACATTTGTCACCCCGGGACGCTCGACTCCCATGTGAAACTGAAGAGGATCTATCACAGCTGCGTTACGTTTGAATAGGATCGAAGGGGCAACGAAGGAATAGCCCTAAAAAAGAGAAGGAAAGGCGAAGCATGACGACATGCCGTTTTGCAGTTTAGCACGCTAGATTGAGATGACTTTTTTCTTAGAGGAATACTCAATTAATTGTTGAGATGAACCTAATTTCATTTTATTTGTAATCCCAAATGCAGTTCTTGTAATTAAATAGAAAAATGTTTTGCAGAAGGAGATAATGCCATCTTCTGGCAGAATTAAGCCAATTCAGTAACAAAGGCAGGAAAATGGTTCTTCCGATCCTATCTGCAGAACTGACTCAGAGCTATACTTCTTTTGCTTTTTGCTAATAACTGTTTGCTTATAAAATTAACTAATTTTTCAGAAAAGATACTGTCAATATATTAAACAAAGTAGCCCATGTTTCAAACTATAAATATAACAACTTTCATTAAAGCTAGTTTCTAATTCAGCAATTATTTGACTTGTATTCTATTTCTTGAGAATAGTTAAATTTAACTTTGGGTTTTGAAAAGGAACAAACCTAATGACACGATGTGGTGAGCCTGAAATGATACAATGTTGGATGATTAACCTGTCTAAGCTGGAGCATCCACTAGCTCAGCAACACACATCTACTAAGTATGCGGTCAAATGCTAGACAGTGACGTGAGACGAGCGAGAGACACAGCCCGGATGGTCCGAGCAAAGTGCACTACAGCACGTAGCAGAAGGGCGACTAAGAGGCCCTGCTCTTCAGTCTGGTGGAGACTTTTTCTCCATATAAAACTCTTTCTCAGTCTTCATGAGTGGGAAAGCAATGGGGTTTTATCCACAGAAGATAATAAAATCAGACCACATTATGAACTCAATAATACATGAATTGAGATAAAAACAAAGCATTATTGTAATTTCTATAAAAGCCTGAGCAAAAATAAGATTTTAGGTATAAAATAAATATTCCCTTAAACAAAAATAAATGCACAAACATTATCTGCTACTTAGCAACCATTAGCTTCAGTTAGCAACTTGAAATATCTTTATACTTAATACTTCTGAAGACTAGAGAACCCCAGTTTTAAGATGCCAACAAATGCCTTGTACAGGAAAACCCACACCAAGGCAAGATGGCCAGCAGACGCGTGTGCTGCGCCCGGGACACTACCTGGAACAGCCTCTCGGAGCTCTGTGGCAGGGCTGCCGGAGAATAGGTGGGGTCCATCTCCGTGAACTCCTCGGCAAAGTTACTCACGTCCAACTCATCTCGGATGACTGGCTTAAATGGGGCAGAGACTTTTTTGGCAGCTAAGTCATCCCAATTTATTTTCTAAAGCAGAGAAAGAAAGACAATTGGTAAAAATCAGAAGTAAATAGAAACTGCGTGATGTCCTATAAGGACAGATTAGTATTTTGATTGGTTAATTGGGAGGGAAGTTAAAAATAATGACACGCATCTCAGGTTGACACCCCGCTTCCCTCCATCCCCTGACCCCGTTTTCTAGCTGTAGATGGAGTTTCAGTAGAGGTGGTCTGAGTGAGACTGCTTCCGTCCCTATCCTCTAGGGGGCAGCAATGCACCCTAGTTCACCCTTAGAAACGGCAGAAAAACTACTTTTGTCCTGAGCTTTCTGGCAAAGCTCCCAAAGTAAAAAACAACACAAAGTACAATAAGAATCCAATAAAGGGCTTTAAAATGTTCTGTGGATATTAACTCTAAAGGAGTAAGTTTTATTTTCTAGAGAGAGTGTTAACTGAGCTTTACCGTTCACTTGTTTTTACTTTGGGCCATCTAGACAGATTTAAAAATATTCACTATTTGGGCTGGGGAGATAGCTCAGTAGAATAAGCACTTGCCTGGCAAGTGCAAGGGCCTGAGTTCAATCCTCAGTTCCTCAGGAAAAAAAAAAAAAAGCAAAAAAATTTACTATTAATCAAGCATCTGCCTATGTCCGTAAGTTTCAATGATACTATTATAGTGGTGCAACTGTTCTTTTCTCATTCAGTTGTACTCAAACATTTTAGAAAGGGCCTCTTACCTCCCCTGAAAAATAAGCCAATGTTTCCCTTTCCACCCTCCTTAGACAGTTCTTCAGTAACTGACATTATTTTATATTATTCAGATTCAACCATCTATTGTTTACGTTCCCTTTTCACTTAATAAACCCTTAGGTAATACTGACTTCTACAGATCTCTCATTACCAAATGTCTTCAAATCTAATGGTGTTTTATCATTACTGACAGTACAGCATACTCTCAAGAAAGGAAAGAAGCATTACTGGGACATGATACGATGTTCACTTTGAGATGCATACTGATTCCAGGGACGGTAAACAGTAAAAACCCGTACTTCTTGGCTGATACATTTCACGAGGTTTAATCACTACCACAATATGCTTATATTACACTCCTTTGTGGAAAAAAAGGAAATTAAATTAAATTATAGATCTTTACATTTTTCTTTCCAGCTAGAATGGGTTTTAAAGATAATTTAGTTCACTTTCTTTATTTGATCCAGAAGGAAACTGAGGCTCAGAAATAAGAATTACCTTTCACCTTTAAACCCTAGCTAGTGGAAGGACCAGAATTTGAACACAGTCTCTTGACTTTCTGGACAGTGTTCCTTCCATATGACTGCAATGTTTTTCATTAAAAGTATATAGTTTGCATTTGGCTATTGTGAAGTTTCTAAAAGAAACTTCCAGAGTAAAGGGGTAATTTAGAGAAGCATGTTGTTAGCATGAGAACGTTTAGTGTGCAGAAAATTGAATGCTACTGTGATGCTTCCCACAGGACCGCCTCGGTCTCCACAAACACAACTCTGGTCAGCCTAAATGTTTATCTACCACCTAAAAAGTCAAATCAATTAAGAAGTTTAAAATTACTATTTCAAGTTATCAAGAAGAGAAACGTTTCTAACATGAAAGACATACTGTCACAAGTAGAGGGAACAATGAAAAAGCTCCTACGGAAATATAACCGGGGGCATTTTGGTTAAATACTTGCTTGAATTTTACTTGATTGTCAATATTTCTGGCAGACTTAGTTTTTTTTTTTTTTATTAAAGATTTATAAAAATATATTTTCCATAACTGGCAGACTTAGGAATAAGATATTTGAAATAGGTTGTTCAAATGCTAATCTAAGCCAAATGAATTTGTGAAATACTGAGTTTATTTTATCTCATGTATTTCTTACAATGTTTATTCTAAATATATTTCTTACTATGAACTTCTGTAAAATGTATAGCATTTTAAAAACTGATTATAATGAGAAGCTGAAATAAACATGCTCCTTTTTATGAGTACTAAAGTGTATAGAGATGATTTTTTTTTCTTTTTTTTTTTTTTTTTTTTTTTTTTTTTTTTTTT